GACGCAACTGCATTTCCCGACAAGCCTGTTTCGTGAATCGCTTCACTCTTCTTCTTTAAACCCCTGAAGAGTGAAGCGATTCACGAAACAGGCTTGTCGGGAAATGCAGTTGCGTCCTTTTTTCCTCTCATAATATTTATTTATATATATATATATAATCTAACAAAGAGAGACAGACAAAGTCGAAAAAATTGCAAATTAGTACGATAAAAACTATCAACAACTATCATGTTTGAACATGTCTAAACAACATGCTAGCCGATGATAGTCGATGACAGTACACGGTAGTTCGTGTTCAAACGCGCGTGATAGTGGAAACCATCATCAACTTTCATGACTGTTCGAACGGGGCTTTATTTTTGGCCAATTGGTGCAGGATGTTTCAATATGAAGATATCTTTAACTCAGCATTCACGTTTCGCTTCAATTTCTAAGGCATAGCCTCCAGATATGACAGAGCTTTTCCTTACTCAGCGTAAAACGTATGAAAAGGGCTGTGAATATCATACTTAATCGTCATCCTTTCATGGCACCATTCATCTCAAGTTTCTGTCAGCAGCTGTCTGTACGCATATACGAGCTCGTGACTCAATAACATCGCATGTGCGGCGGATCAATCAACGTATTTTGAACTCTTCTTCAGAAGGTAGAGAATGTAATGGACATCCAGACGCAATCGTTTCTTAGTGAAGTGTCAACTTTTTTTTTTTTTTATCAAAAACGGACCAATTACATTAAAGGCTATTTGCACCAGGCGTGGAGCGTCGTTTTAGCGAAACGTGACTCTCGCCTTGCAGCATGTGCAGGTGTTTTGGTAAGACGGCTTTTATTTGATGAAGGTTTGCACAGCGTAAAACAGACTTGTAATGTTTAGTTAGCCTAAAAAAGAATATTATCCTCTGCTTTTTGTATGTAATCATTGATTTCTAAGCCTAATTTTTAATACTCAGTTTTACATGTCAAGATATGCATTGGATGGTCCAGCTACGACTACCCGTAAATAACATATCCCAAGCCTCCTTTTTTGTTCCGTTATGATCTCTTGATAAGTTTGAATTCTTTTAAACTATAATGTCTGAATCATGGGGAGCCATTTGAGCCAAAAATATCAATGGCTAGTGTTAAAACTCAATCGGTAGTGCTAAATATTAATCGCTTGTGATGAAACTCAATCGTTAGCGTTAGCAGCAAATCGTTATTGTAAATCAGTTTGGTTTCCGTTCTAAAATGATCAGTCTTTAGTGCTGAACCTCAATCGTTTGTGAATTTTATTAAAAGCGCCAATTAGAAAGAAGAAAAATGGAAGAAAAGAGTTAATTTGTTATGAGGTATCTTGGAGAGAGCGATCACTCAGCAATTTGGGAAAGATAACACATTGACGCTGTTTTTACAAAGATGATAATTTTCGAAGTAGCCCAGTGGCCTTACCGGAAGGCTCATTCTATACTGCAGTGATGATTTATTTAGTCGGCTAAGACTCGTAATTTCCCCCAAGAAACAGGGTAAAAAATTATATCTGAAAAACTTCAGAATGTTGTCTTAGCTTGCTATAATTCTAAATATAGATCGACAGAATTTCGGGGAACAACACTTTCTAGTTTATTTAGAGGCGTTATAAATTAAGACTGAAATTTAGGCAATCTAAAGTATGCAACAACCTAAAGCCAATGCAAAATTTACAATGAAGCGGACGTGTATTTATGAAGTATCTCCACAAAAACAGAAGGAAAAATTGTAAACCGATATGAATCATAGAATGAATACTTTATCGATTAAAAAACTCTCCTTCACTTTCACCTGATGTAAGCTTTAAAGTGAATATTGAAAACCCCTGATGGGTTATTTTCTTTGATTGGTTAACGGCTACAAAGTTTTGGAGGAAAAAGGGAATAATGAGTGAGACAGACATGGTTTGATGCTACTCTGGTCTACAGATTTAATGAACGTAACCGAATAAGTTACAATTCATAGACCTAACGTTTCGACACTCGTGTCTAGTGCCTTCATGTGAGACAGTTGGGATAAATGACCGTTTTGCAGCCAAATTAGCTTTATCGTAGAGCCTATTCTTGTGTAATAAAAAAATCCACGTCAAACAAACAGACAAATTTGAAAATCACAGGACTGCACCTCTGTCTAAAGCTTTTCAGAGCAAAAACTTGATTGCGTGCGATGAAATTATATGCCAAATATAAATATGAAGGAATAAAAAATTTAGTGAAATAAGAGACAATAGCTATATTATTTAGGTTGGGAAACTCTTAGAGTATTATCTGGATCGTTTACTTTAACACTGTACCACGCTTTAATAAGTATAGCACACTTCACAAGGTAATATCTTGGGTGGATATAAAAATCTGGGTTAAGTGTATTTCAATGTTGTTGAAGAGAAGGCTCTAATAAAATACCTCAGGTGGTGTACCAATAACAAAAATTCAAGAAACTCTGCTGAGGAAAATTTAATGTAAGAGCACTTACCCTTGTTATTGACGCTGAATAACAGTTATTGGACCAGTTATTTCAATCCACGTTTGTTTCAATGCGGACCTATCCACCTGCTCACGAAGGAGTGTTTCTTCGTTTTGATCGGCAAGCGTTCACTAGGTAGTTGATAATGCAAAGTGCTTTTAAAATTTTCGTCGGTAGCTTAACCGTTCCAATTGGCTAGTCAGATTACAAGTGTTTGAAATCAGACGGATAACGTCGGACAGTTAGGACTTGAATCAGTCAAGCCACAAATTAGGCCGGCTAATAACCACATAACATATTCGTGCAATTTGTAGTTGACACAATTAGGATGATAATCTTAAAGCTTTATGATTAAACTCGAAGTCACGCGTATTTGTGCTCATCATTTATTTAAAATCTCCACACGCCTTCGGCACGATACAAAAATGAGAACAAAAACTTATGAGTAAACTCAAAATAATGAAAATTTTTTGTGAAGCATTTAAAAACGACGAGGCTGCTTCTAAAGATGGGACAAAAATATTGATCCACAGGACGTATCCTGCATAACTAGTGTGCTTGTACTGAATAAATGAATCTGTTTTAGGACGCCATCTCGTTGTCCTTCTCAAGGCATGTAGCTTCACGATCACTTTGGTCATTTTTCGCAATTTCAAAAATTTTTCTGGATTTTACAAGAAATCTTGGAGCGCAAATAATTTTTGGGTTTCTATAAGTTATTTGCAGAGACAGTGATCTAATCAGAATTTGTAATTGTATTTTAGATAAAAGATAACTTTTCAATAATGATTTATTGAAAACAATTACTTTTCAAAATATGTTTTGGGATATCAATGTATCTTATCAGATTTTAAGAGAGTAAGCAAGATTTTATTGGTTCATTTTTGCTTAATAAGCGGGAGAGAGGTTCAAGTTAGAGTCGACAACGATTGAGGTTTTGAATTTTATCATTAGCGACTGATATTTTTGGCACAAATGGCTCCCCTTAATGAATCTTATATGACTTAATATTTACACACCAGAGGCTAATTTTGAGTATCCCATCAGTTGATCTCATCGGATGGAAATACATTACCATCTACTCTCAAACAGATGAAGTCAAATTCGTAGATCAGTATCGTCTCCGAAGGGAATGATACGGTAAAATGTTCATTCAGTTGTAGCATTACATTTCTATCTTAAAATTCCCAAGGTCAAATATATCATGTCTTCGTTCAGTTAAATCACAGGTTTCCTTTGATTTTAATTGCGTTCGTCGCTAAACGTTCAAGAGTCAGAAAACTAAGGAAAGGAAACGAGCACTGATTGAGTCTTTAATATGCCAAGACAGCTTTCTCTCCTCCCCTTTCATTTCTAAACGCTCAACAACATCACCTCTTTTTAGATCTAGTGGCCTCAAGATACGATGAAAAAACTGAGGTACAATGCAAGCTCACACCAGTAGGCCCTGAAAGATTGCGCCAGTAAAAGTAGCATATTGTGCTACTAGCATTGCTCAATTTTTCCAAATTATGCTCTTTTTTCGAAAATTAGGCTACTTTTTACCTTATGGTATGAGGTCGGTCAAACTATGAGGTTTACGTGTGGAAGGAATCTTTCTCACCCACTCGATTCTGGGACAATTAATTTATGAATTAAAAGCCTATCTTCCCCACTAGGTTTGCTTGCAAATTCTTGCTAGTGTTTGCTGATCAAATATATAGAGATGAGTACAAAGGTCGAAATTTTTACCTTATCACATGGGCTAATGAACATAATTCAAAATGGCGTCCATCGTCGGGCCTTAACATACAACGATCTACAGTACTGTAGCTGGTTTTTCTCTCTTTTCGTTTCATCCTCTCCATCCGAGGGGCAAACATGCAGAAGAATACTCAACTAGAAGGAGAGGGCTTCCAGATTTTAAAAATAAATATGGAAAGATATTGTCTCCCTGCGTAAGCCATTTTAATTCTTGTCGACTAGGTGTTTTTGTGCGCACGCGTTTGGCTGCCACCTGGTCACATCTGTTCTGTTACTGGGAAATAACATTTATTTGTCATCATGTATGTGTGTGTCAACTTTATTTATGGAGGGTGACGACAGCCAGTTAAAAACCAAGCCAGCAATTACACATGGTTGAGGAGAGACCTAGATGCCTAAAACTGAACACATTGATCAATCAACATCAAAGCAGGTTCTATTATAACTATGTACACGTTCGCACTTCCTTAAAACTTGATGCATAACAATCAATGAAACCTTCTATAAAACTACTTACACTTTCACTTTGCTACATAAACACAAAATCATTTTAAGTTTGAATTCATGCATCTGAAAAAAAAACAAAACAAAGCAAAACGAAACAAAAAAAAAACTAAAAATAAGCACGCATTTATCTCAATACATTGAAAATCAATTCGGATTCAAGACAACTGTACGTAGAGAGTAGTTTTGATCACGTTTCATGCGCGAATTTTGGAAAAATTCACGCTTCAAACAGCATCCTAAACAGCATTTCATGCGTCACGAGTTCAAAAAGGATGCATGCATTAACGAATCCACAAATTCAAGGAGTAACTTTTAGTTATCGAGCCCCATACGTCGTTGCTAAAATCAAATTCTCTTCTGTTATCCTCTTTGATTTTAAAAGAGGCAAGTTTCGCCACCGTTGTCCCAATTCCGTGATCAGCACCTGAACAACCAGTTCCGCCTCCTCCAATCATGATCACAGAACCACTCCAGCCTTCGTTACACCAGAAGCCGACCTCATCAGCACCTTGCAGGTCACCACTGCATGAAGCCTGTCCAAAGCCCTCGGTGGTAAGGTATTGTCCTCCATATTTAACTTTGCATTTTCCCAGGCACTCACCATTGGACCAAACTGAACCGTTTCTGAAATCACCATAGCTGGTAATTTTGGAACGGAATGTCTTCCCGCTCAGACAATTCCCTGTTGTTTGCAATAGAGGAGTGTGTCCAGAGTCATCATTGCGCGTGATCTTAAGCTCTCTGCCACTGACCAGCCAGAACGCCGGCGATATCATGTCTGCGCTGTATGACGGGTCAGCAGTTTTTCCTGCACCTTGAGCACTGTCATACCACCAGTCTCCTGAGTCATCCATCCAGTTTTTAGTGTCACTGTTTGAAAACCGAGCGAGGAGGGTCCAGGCCCCATCCTTCGATACCATGTCACAATAAACCTGCACAGAAATTAAAAATTCCATCCAAACTTGCGTTTTATGATCCAAAGTTGTTTTTTCGTGAATGGTCGATAAGAAAGGAATTATGAATTCCAAACATTCTAACTTTTACGGTACAAATCTATTTTTCTTGAATTGTTTAAAAATGAAGAATTATAATTTAGTTACCAGAAAGTTTTTGGATTTCATTTTTGTCTTCTGGGGCTCCAGCCAATATCTACCACTGACCGACATCCCTTGTTCGCTGGCTTTGATCTCTCCACAAGACTCGGCAGGCATCTCGGGAACGGAGCCTAAAGAGACTTTGGAAAAGGAACAGTAGAATGCTTTTCATTTGGTGACGATTATCTTCCTTGATTGTATCGTATTGCCATGTTCAAATACCAACCGAGCATCATTTTAACAAAGAATATTCCAATGTGACCATATTAAATTGCAAAATACAGTGAGCAATTAAATAATTCCTTGAATACTATAATGTTACATCTGATGTGCTAAGTTTCATTGAATGTTTAAAACACGCATGCTCTGAAGGTAACATCTTGAGAAATGCCGTGAGCCAAACACATTAATTTCTTATCCCTCTTAGTCTTAGACTCTCCGGTTGGACAGAGGAGACTCGTTCTCCCAATCCCCCTCACTCCAATTATTGCGAGGCTTTGATTTGATCTGATGAACTACACAAGCGATGTGTGAATTGTATATGGAATATATCCGAGCTTCAACCTGGTCCCAGGACAACGCTGACGGAATCAGTCACATTTGAATACAGTGACATTTTAATAGTGTACAAAACACCTGGCATCTATGAATGAGCTTTAAAAAAGTCCTCTTTCCTCTCTATCTGTCTGTCTGTCTGTTTATCTTGCACCTCTTCAACACAACCTCTACTCCTCAAAAATAGCTGAACATGTGTTACCGTCATATGCAAAATTTAAAAATTTATTAAATTGATGAAAATTTTGGCTTAACGATACCAACCAGGTGTGATTGTCCAAGAACTGAAAGGAACTTGATGTTTACAGCCGTGAAAACTATTCAGTTTTTACTAATCTTTTATATAATAATGATTTTAAAGACTATGTTATTGCCCGTACCTCTGTTCTTCCACCGACGCACGTAGAATCTAGTTTCGTCTCGGACAAAATCTTCAGGTCTTGCTTCTTTGGTTCTGTTATTTAGCTCGCAAAGTTTACCAGTTTTGACGTAATTGTAGCTCTGACATGTGAGTTCGCTGTAGCAGAACATCCGACACTCATACGGATCTTGTACCCTTTTCGATTTAAAGATGTGACCTTTTAGAGCCTTTCCACTCTCTGACTGCTCAGCGGGTTCACATTGCAGACTGATGGCCATGCGCAGAGGAATCAAAGATGAAAAGTAGAAAATATAGAGCACTGGAAACATCTGACCTGGATAGAGTTGTACTGCAGAGGCAAATAAATCAGTTAAAACGTTCATGAACAGCGTGAGAGGCGGTTCTTAACATTAGCAATGCAAGCACCGCGTTTCTCCCTCTCCGTTAAGATTTTAAATTAATTGGGAGAGGTTGCCAAAATTTTAAGGTCTTTGAAGATTAAAATTTAGGGCCCTTTTTTCTCCTATCAGGTCTAATCAGCTTTTTCCTTTTTTTTTTAATTCGATGGAAAACTTGATTAGAAAACGGTGCAAAGTGAAGTGAGCGATCAAAGCGTTAAGAAAAGGTTGTGAGTGAATCACGCTGCTCGAAACCAGTCTTCAACCGACGCCGAACTTGTTAAACTTGAGTACCCTTCAACGGATCGGAGGTTTTAACTCAACCTTAACTAACGAAAAATAATTAACCACTGAGCCAAATTATATTCAAAATGCAAAAAAGCCCAAAATATTTAACAATAGAGGCACTGGACGAAGGAACACGTCAAAAACCCGAACAAAGACAATCAGGTACTCATGGCGTCTACAGCCACGGAACCACAGAGAACCTGCAGGAAGCTCGTTGTTCTCTTCGTTCATATTTTGCACATATCCTGCATACTGCAAGAATCAGTAATGTCAATAGCCTCATATGGGTTAACGGAACGCGAAAGATGGTAAATTTTAGGCTCAGTAAGAAAGGTGATCTTTTCGTTTAATCACAAACGTTGAATAGAGAGGAAAACATTTATGTCTCCGTGAGGAATCGAACGTTACGTTGAATGAATATTTATAGTTACGGAAAAACTTGAGTATTTAAACAAAAAGTGAGATCTGTACTCCATTGAAATCTTGGCAATTTTTTTCATTAATAAAAACTTTTCAACATTCTTTCACTTTTTTGCCTTCTTGCAATACCTTGGAACATTGAAGTTTTTTTTGTTATCGAAACTTTCTGCCTGGGGAAATATCCACTGTGATTGTCCGATATCCGAAACTTCCAAATCATGCCACAATGCACACTTCTGTCCTATTTCGAAGCATTTTTAGTGAAATTATGCAAATCTATATTTTCAACTTCAAATATCACTACATAAAATTCTGACTCAAAAACTCAAGAACAAGATTACTTACCCTTCGAGAATCAGTAGCGTTCAGAGTTTCGGTTCTTCAGGTTTTTTCTCACTGGACGAACCGAGAAATGACCCAATTGTTTCCGCCGGTTATCCCAAAATGTTTATGATAATATCAAATATCGTATAACTGGTAATTAATTTTTACGTAGCATGTTCGACTTAGTTTCAATCAACCTCATATTTCTTCAGGCATCATCTCTTCATAGTTTTCGCTACCTCTAACACGTTTGCTTACCCTATGAGCTTGAAGTATTCCTGTTTGATTTTCCCTCACAACTTCCAACTTTTACAATGTTTACTTTCTTAATTAAACCAATCTCTTTCGATTGGCCTCTAAACTCCGCTTTGTAAATGAAGCTGAAATTAATTTCGTTTCGGGAAGGGTGAGGAAAGTAAAAAACAGACATCCTTTTTACTAAATGTCATCTAGCAGTAGAATGAGTCCTCAAGCAGGAAATAAAACGAAAATGACCTCATTTTGCGTCAAATGCAATTGCATAACTATTTTTAAGTCACAATTTAGGCAATATTGACGCGAAATATATGCTGAAATAATCGTGACTCAACCTCAATTCCTTTCCCGTTATGAATCATTGATGATTTTTATGAAAAGCGTATGCAATTCGAACTAGGCTCATTGCTACTAAAAATGTTGTGGTAAGCAATTATGACACGTTGATAAACATTCATTGTGGCAAATCGGAAAACTCTCCATATCAAATTGCTAGAAACTTCCCGCTAAGTTGTGCTTATGCTAGAATTTAAAATAGAATAATGAGAAACACAACAAAATGTCGTTCATTATTTATACTGTCCTCCGTTCATCGCAGTTTAGCAATGACACGAAAATATAGAAATAACTAATAAGAACTTTATTAAAGGACTTGAACTCATTTTGAAAAGGTCTGTGCTTGACTAACGTTGAGCAAAGAGCTTGCTAAATTCACCATGTTCCTACAATTAATTTTTCTGAGGTTCGAAACTATTCATTTTTATAATAAGCTATTGAGAAATAACGCTCTAAAACAGGTTTTTGAGGCAGAGCTCAAAACCTCAAAACCTCTAGAAATAGAATGATAGCATTGTTTTTTGTTTTTCTGTTTTTTTTGTTTTTTAATTTACATAATGAAATTTAGTTACGGCGTTAACCAGCATAACACTTCACACAAAACTAGCAGCTTTCCGCCAAGCTGTAATATTTTCATTTTGAATTGTTTTCTCTTGAATAAAATATAAAAGACACAAATGAAAACATTAAAGTATGAAACGGATACTGGCTCAAGCCATTTTCAGGTAATTTTCAACTGTATAAAATTATGAATTCACTCAATCATGACAAATGGATAATATTTGTCTTCCTCGCTGTACCAACTTTAAAATGACAATTCTTTGGGAAATTCCTCAGAAAAGAATGAAAGCATTAACAAGTTTCTTTAGGAAAGTTTTTCCCAAAATGTGAAGAAGCTGGTGTTCTTCAATAAAAATATACGCCTTGTTTTAGTTTCCATGGAACGATCTGCGTGGCGAAATCCCAGGATGCACAGACTTACCTCACAATCACCTCGCCATTTAAAAATTAAGACCGTGTGGAATTCAGAGTTTAAGGAGGCCTGACCTTGTCACCTCCACAGAGTAGGAATGAATTTTTTTCCGTTTCTTTTGGGGCGAAAAATGTCATTAGTCAGTTTTTTTTGTCTTTGCTTTGAGAAGTTATGGTTGAGAATGAATGAATACGACGAAGAACATTGCCCTCAGTTATTCAAGTTTCGTGCGAACTCAAGTCGTAATGATAAAAGAACTTACCTTGACGTACTTCAAACGTTTGCTATAACTGCCTTTTAAGTAGTCTCAAACAGTCCAAGATATTTGCAGTCTCGAGAAATTTTTGGCCCTATAACATGTTCTACTCAATGTGTTATATTTCAAGAGCAATTTTGTTAAAAGTAAATGCGGTGGTGCGACAAACGTAATAAAAGCAGGTGTTTCAAAGATTTTTGAAGAAAATTTTTGAACAAAGAGAGGTGCAAGAACTAATTTTTTTTAAACAAAGAAAAAGTATAATTGATTTCTGTAATGTAATTTACAGTCTTTTCTTTCGATTTAATCTATAATTTGATTGGCAAACTGTACCTTAATGGTAATATTCTTTCAGGAAGAACATGAAATAATAAATGCCAACTGTATGTGCCAAAAGCAATGAATAAATTAACAAAAGGGGTTGGTTTCAAAAGAAACTGGGGAGCTGTTAAACCTTCTCAATCATGCAATTATTATACCCTCTCTTCCTTAGGGACCATTCTCAATCCACTTCCCCCTCCCCTCCCCCTGAGGAAGGGGGGTGAAAGGTTTTGTGGAGGGATCACAGGATTTTCAAGCGAAACAACAGGGGGAGAGTAGTTGTGGCCCACAGCGTATAAAGGGGGGAAACTATTTGGTAAATTGTATCGTGACACAACCGTAATCCTCTGACCCGAGAGTTTATTAAGCTGATGTTACGAGCGGAAGTTCTTCGTCAGAGCGTAAGATGAAAAAGAACTAACCATACGGTGACCAATTTACACTGTAAACTCATGAATGAAAGTGATCCTCGCTGTAATGTACACTACTTGAGCAGTAGTGAAGGTAAGGACTGAAAAAAATTCAGGCCTGTACGGGATCTGAACCCATGACCTCTAAACTTAGTTAATTAAACCAAATTATCTTGTACTTGCATAATAGCTTTTATTGCCAGTTTAAGCCCTTCCAAAAATCGTTATAAACTATTTTGATATTTTCAGACAATTGTTAACTCGACAACCTGCTACCTGCTCGGAGGTAGGAATGAATAAATAATGAAGCTTGAAATTCTTCCTGTTATTCCAATTTCAATTCTCGAAAAGGCTTAGTTTTTCTTAAAGCTGCTAGCAATTTGAAAAGGGCCAAGCGTTTTTGATCTGACGATGAATTTACAATTTTTCTTTTTTCCTTAACCACAAAATATATTAACTCTAGTTATGTTCACTTAGCAGGATATAAAAGCCAATGAAGGGGATTTCAAATTTATAATGTAAACACCCTTGGGTTTATGTTAGGGAAATAAGTTATAAAAGTGTCCCATAAACGCGGACTTCGAAATGTTATGGAACATCGTTATGCAGAAAACTGGAAAATGCATTTGTTCCTGTGCTAGTGAACTCAAGGGACATCAGATGACATTCTTTCCGTGAAAACGTTTCGGAAGCAATGGATTTGCACTATACTGTTTGCCAAAATATTTGCAAGAAGGCGAGGTGTGCTGTGGCTGCAGGCGTGCTATTTTTACTTTGATAAGGTTCTCTTATTTAAGCAGGAAAAACTCATAGCGAATATTTTCTTCCGGCCTTTATTGGGCTTTTTATCTTCATTTGGAGCGATTTTTTAGGTTTGCAAATACTCTTTGATGTTGCTAAATCTAACCTGGTTCTGGCAGGGATTTTAAAGTTCAGATGTGCGATGTCCCACAGTCAAAAGTTCCTTTGATTACCGCTTCTTAGTCATGGTAATAACACAGCAATTTACGGAGCTTTTCCATGGACACAGTAATCAATACAGCACGGAAAAAAAATTTCACACAGTCAAACAAACATAAAATCGCTTAATGCCTCAATATTCTTGAAGCTACGCACAGTGAAAAATAACAATGCTAGCAATTATCGCGAGTTTTCGACTAATTTACACAATACTTGGAAAGTATATTGTAGCAGCTCAGCGAGAATTCGTTTTCACTCAGCTTCACCATATATCGTTGATGAATCATTAATTCCCATCGGAGTATCTGGATCATAAGTCAAGTCCAAGCAAGACACATTCGCTTTTTGTCACCTTTTCTCAGTAACCTTGTATGAGGATCGAAGTGATGAGAGCGAAGTAAATGTAGATGCATAAAAAATGTTTTTTCTTCTGCACGCTAAA